GAAACAACGATGTCAATATAGTAGAGAGACCTATAACACAAAGGTTAACAGAAATATACTAACAGGGGATCGAGACGGGACAAAAAGATTAAGCAGTAAGACCGACAAATGAGCTGAGGTACGATAACATTTCTTTACCCGTAAATTCAACTGTGATTTTTTTTCTAACAGTTTGTTATGACTCCGAAACATTACGAAAATATACTGGACCTTCTCCTTATCTAACAAACTAGTGTGAGGTATACACAAACGCACATAGAGAAATCCGTTCAGGGCGACGGAATATGACACGAAAACCCGCCCAGGGCGATAAAAAAATGACAGTAAAACCCGTAAAGGACGACTGAAAACGACAGGGAAACCGGTCCAGGGCGACTTGTAAATGGTTCAAGTCGCACTGAAACTTCATGACCTTTTTTCTTTCCTACTTGCGTGTTATTTGTGTATTGTTCCAGACAGGACATTATGCCTTTTTGTTTAGTGTGAGGTAGAGCCAGACATGAGCTAACAGCCATTATAATATATTTAATATGATTGTTGATCCAGGTGTAGTATTACCCCAATCATTTCTAACTACGGAGCAGCTGATTTTAAGAGGAAGAGAAATAAGATATTAAATGTGGAAGAGATTTAAAGTCAAATTCCTAATTATTTAAACGGGTGATATTCGTCGTGCTTCCTCTTTGTGTGACGAAAACTCTTAAAAATCTAAAGTGGGCGACCCACTTAATTTTCTCTTACGTCTCTGTCTTCCTGTATACCCCCAAAATTATCGCCGCTCTAGCCTACACCAATACTCCTTTCCCCAGTGATTGCCGGTCCTATAACTTGTTTGATTCCCATCTATGGCAAATAATCCCGTATTTTGCATGGCACTCTGGTTCTAGTGCCATATTTTGCATGGCACTCTGGTTTCGCGCCATGTAAAATACGGCATGAGAACCAGAGTGCCATGAAAAATACAGCTACAAGGAAATAATATTAAATTCAGAGTATATTCATGGTTACGGTGACAAAAACATTAGTCACAGTTACGGTGAGAAAAACTTAGTTACGGTGAGAAATAAATTTTTCACACGAAAACATTAAGCCCGTAAGGGCCCTACAGTGCCTGGGGAAATTTAAGCATTAAGGTTTGAGGCAACAGGATGGTAGTTCGAATTCCCTGAATCAAGAGCCCCTCCACCACCACCACCATCATCAAGACCCCCTTAAAGAAAAGGAAACAAGATAAAAAAAGAATATTCGGTTAGCTAATCATTTTTCCCCTTCATGGTTTCCATGTGATGACTTGAGAACGTCACTTTAGATCGGCTTTAAACTTTCGACGCTGGTGTACCTTACATAGAGGAAGGTTAAAATTGATACTCGGCTGTGTAGGTGCCAGTTATATATATTTAAAAACTGCATAGTTGTTACCATGCTATTACTCGAGAACGCTTCATCTTCTCAGCTTCAAACTTTGAGTATTTGTCTGTCCCACTAACAAAGATTAGGATTATAAAAATGTAAACTCTAGGTGCCATTTTGTCAATTTCATTTTTATTTTTTCATGCAATGACTTGTAAATATATCGGAACGGTATTATAAATGTTGAACGCTAAACCAGTGTGGGTCACAGTGCAAGATGTGATGGAGACTCGATACTCTGCTGAGCGCCAGACAGATGAGTTTTGTATCTGTACTTGCCCAGCTTCTCTTAGTGCTGTATAATCCTCCGGGTTTAGCGCTTCCCCTTGATTATAATAATAATAATCTTCAAACTATTAAAGCTGACGTATGTATCTACTTCATAACAAAAGCTTAGCATAGTTTTGAAGCTGTGTAAGCGTAGATTTATACATTTACTAGCGTTATTAAGAGAGGATGTTGGTGACAGTGCAAAAACTCTAAAATGCCTTATCTAGTCGGCTTCAGACCTTAAGCACCATTATTGTTTATTAAAAGGCTAGGTTCTAATTTGTCAATTTCGTTATAAACTTGGGGTATTGATTTTCTGTAGGACAACTGGAGAATGCTTAATTAGATCCATTTCAAACTTTTGATGCTAGTGTATCTTGCCTACCGGAAAGATCAGATTAGTTGTGTTGATGACACGTTGTCAGAGTGATTGAACAAATTGAGATATTAGTTTATGTATGACAACGCAGGAATGGTTCTTCAGACTGGCTTCAAACTCTTAACATTTATAGAGGAAGTCTCGTAATGTTATTGGACAGTATAGTTGCCATTTTGAAAATATTATTTTACGCTGTGTAGGAGAAGTTTTCCAGGAACGGCTGTGAAGGTCCACTGGCCAGGTAGTGTATAAAAAAAATACTTTTTTCCTCACGTGATTTTAGCGTATTAAAACTCAAATATAACTATGTAAAGAAATTTTAGGAAAAAGGAAAGGCTTTCGTTTTTATCTGAATTGTTTATCCCACTTACAACAATGCGAATAACAGCCCTACTGTTGCCAGGTTTTGAAAAATAAGCTGTTTTTTTTCTTACAAGGTTGTAGAGCATTAAAACCAAACACAACTTCGAAAAGAAAACTGAAAAATAATGAAAACTTAGTTGTTCGTAGCGTGTTGAAGTTTGACAAATTTTGTTAACTCTGCACCACTGTGTATTTGCGCTCTCCTGATTTTCAGTGTTTTGCTGTGTAAATATTTTCAGTATTTGACTGCGTTGAGTTCTAGCTTCTGGGCCTCTTAAGGGAGTTCGCTTACAGCTTGTGTGTTTGACAACAACTGACTGATTTCACAAACTCTGATACCTTCAGCCCTTTCTACCTTAATCTCTTGCTACCCTCAACCCCCCCACTATCCCCTGCCCCGCTGTTTTCTGTAACCTAATGATCATTCCTACCCCCTTCTGCCGCCCAATACCCTCGCTTCATTCCCTACCCTGAAGCGCTGTATAGCCCTTGTGGCTTAGCGCTTCTTTTTGATTATAATAATAATTACAGCTCATGTCCCTCTTGAGCGTTCTTAGCTACTGGGCTTTTCTTTTTTTTAGGTGCTCGACTTCAGTATGCTGATCTGAAGCTACTTAGTCTAAGGTGTTGATCTCTAGCTCCTGGATCTTTTGGCAGTGTTGAGGTATAGCTCCTAGGTCTTGTGAGGGAGTTGAGCTGCAAGTGTGGATTGATGTACAGAAGATTAACAAATACAGGACCTTGACATCTCTCTAGCGTCTTTCCAAAGGGATGGGAGACCCTTGGAGCATATGACAAGTGTGTACTCAGGTTTCTGAAGGAGTTAGGTGACAAACTCCTCGGGCAAGTTAACGACCCCAGAGGTACAGGGGGCTGGGGTTATGGGATCCTCGGATGCACCTCTCAGATCGCCCAGCGACTGAAGTACTTCTAGATTTAAAGATAAAGCAAAGCTAGAAAACTATGTAAGCCACGGAAAGACTGTTGAGTGAGCCGGTAAAACTATGAATATCAATCAGGAAATTACCAGGGCTCTGAGCACAGTTTTTCGAGTCTTGACCAATGACGACGTCACTAGCAAACCCAGGGAACTAAATTTCTTCGTAGGAAATTAAATTTAAGTGAAGGACCAAACACCTGTACAATCAACATACTAAAGTTAAAATTGAAGCTGAACTTGCTCACATTTAGTGGGATAGATAAACTATCTATAATTTAATGAATCTAAACACGAAATTCCTGGCCTGCTAACAGTAAGATTTAAAAACCTAGTAAAAGAAACCAAAATTGCCAAGTGACAATACTGACTTACACCAGTAGTTTAAAAAAAGGGAAACAGCTCGTGGACCCTGACTACCGCCTCATTTGTTTCATATAATGAGAACATTTATGGCAACCATAATCGAGGCAACATCATAAAAAATTATGAAAGAAAATTTAGTAACTAATCAACAAAGGCGGAAAATTTTATTGTGATTCCTAACAAATTTACAAAAACTGTCTAGTCCCCACACATGTATTATACCAGAACTTTCAAAATAATTTAGTGAGACTACGTCTTACATAATTATTAAATACTTGACTGTCTTTCGGTATATCATGTAAAATTTCGGATGATAAACAAGTTTTAAACAGGGATGTATCAGGCTAGATGAGAGGTTCCCGAGGCGTCCATCCTCGCCCTAGTCCAGTTCTTAATATACATAAAGTATCTATAAACAAGTGTACTAACACACAAAATTGTAACGTTCACAGACACGGCATGGCTTAAATTTTGACGACGTTTCGGCCTGTCTTGGACCGAAACATCCTTCATATTATTGTTTCTACCTCCTCCGTCTCTCCTGTCCCCGCCTCCCTCTCGTATATATACTGGCTGCCTTGCCTTCGCTCTTCTGTTGTGACTAGTTAATGCTTTAACACGGACCGAAACGTCGTCATGCGTTTCTTTCTCCTATAAGAACATAGAACATAAGAACGAAGGAACACTGCAGAAGGCCTACTGGCCCATGCGAGGCAGGTCCAAGTCTCCTACCGGCTTAAGCCAATGCACCCAACCTAGTCAGGTCAGGTCACATTGACTTAAGGGAGGAACACGGCAACCGACCTGGTAGCACAAGCTATCACGTCTAACTCACACCCACCCACATCTACTCATGTATTTATCCAACCTATTTTTAAAGCTACACAACGTTCTAGCCTCTATAACGGTACTTGGGAGTTTGTTCCACTCATCCACAACTCTATTACCAAACCAGTACTTTCCTATATCCTTCCTGAATCTGAATTTTTCCAACTTAAAACCATTGCTGCGAGTCCTGTCTAGGCTAGATATTTTCAGCACACTATTTACATCCCCTTTATTTATTCCTGTCTTCCATTTATACACCTCAATCATATACTATGTGCGAGTTATCTGTACATAGAGAAAACTTATTACTCTGCGTTTTGGTTCCCACAGTCTTTGACCTAAGGCTTTGCCCTATACCCTGACGCCCTCATTCCCTGCCCACAGTTGCCCTTAAACTTAAAGCTATTGTCCTGTACCCTGATTCTCTCCCCCCCCCCCTGCCCACAGTTGCGCCGAGGGTGACGCTAAGACTCGGGTACAACCTCCAGACACGGCCGGTCACCGAGGGCGAGGATGTCTACTTCGAGTGTGAGGTGGCCAGCAACCCTCCGCCCCATGCCATCACCTGGTACAAGGACGTGAGTACAGGCACTAGTCGTGAGTACTACCCGCTTCATCCCGAGTACATTTGTTACATATTTGTACCTTTTCACTCACACTCTTACGTACGTCTGTGCCTGCCTTATATAAACAAATGCACTTATACATTCCTATCTCTTGTCTGAGCATACAAATTGAACTTGTGTATGATTCAAGGGGAGCCTTAATGCCGGCGAAGGGTGCTTGATCCAAGGTATCGGAGCTACCCTCAAGCAGGCAGTCTTTGGGCTCATATACTTGTACATCAACATGATCCCTGGATGTCTGTAATTTGTCCCAGAAAACCTCCCCATTGATGCCCCTGTGGCGTGCCACAGGGGCCCCCTGGATATCCACCTCCCCAGTAGCACAGCCACAGGGTAGGGCTCTAGAGGTTAAAGCTCCCCAGTCTCCCGGATTCAAATGTTTTTTGGTATAAACATTGGTAATTGATACTTACGAATTAGTTTAAAGAGACAGGTGAGCAAATACTAGGATTTATCTTTTAGAAAACGTTTCGGTCCTGAAACCTTAATCACTTCTACCATGTTAAAAATTATCACAGTCCCAGGACAGAAACGTTTTTTAATGACTTAGTGTTTGCTCATATGTCTTCTCAAATCAATTTTTAAGCAGTGACCACGAAAGTACGTTTAAGAAATCTCACTTGCTAATAATAATACGTTGTTAAAGATAGTTTTTTTTTAGCCTCTTGTGATATTAAAGGCTGAGTTCCTCCCCTCCCTTCCCTCTTTTTCCATTACATTGAAATCCTGCTTGCCTTACTGTTTGTTCCCTTTCTTTCTTTGCCTTGATTACCAGAGAGTTTACCTAAGGGATCCTGGGTCCTCTCGAGACGCTTCACCTAATCAATACTTCACTTGGGACTTTAGGAATGTGGATGTGTTTTCTATTTATACCACTGGATTTACCGAAGGGTATCCTTCGGCTCTGGGTGCAATCGGAAATTTTGGGTTTTCCTAGATACCTCTGTTTCTAGGTTTTCCTGACTGCCCCTAATCTCGTCTAGGTTCCTATAGCTTATTATTTTAATTGCCCTTACCGCCAAATGCAATCATCAGATTTTTTCTGACAGTCTCTAATATAAAACCCCTTGTCTGTCTCCTAGACTAATCTAGAACCCTTTACCTGTCTCATAAACTAATCTAGAACCCCTTGCCTGTCCCCTAGAAAAATCTAGAACCCCTTGCCTGTCCCCTAGAAAAGTCTAGAACCCCTTGCCTGTCCCCTAGAAAAATCTAGAACCCCTTGCCTGTCCCCTAATCTAGAACCCCTTGCCTGTCCCATAGACTAATCTAGAACCCCTTTCCTGTCCCCTACACTAATCTAGAACCCTTTGCCTGTCCCCCGGCCTAGATTAATCTAGAACTCCTTGCCTATCCCTTAGACTCAGATATCTAGGTTGAAAATCAAATCAGGGAACTATTGGGACTAACCCATGGCAAGCGATCATAAAACACAAATCCGTTCCGTAATTTGTTTGCAATCCTGTTATTACGATTCCGTGAGTTATGTAGGTTGCCTCCTCCTGTGCTTGCATGTTATTGCCTGTAGCCTCTTACTGTACGGGTCAGAGAACAAGTAACGTTACTTGTCCATTATGTTGCGGACACCGCAACATAATGGACAAGTAACGTTGTTGTTGTGGTTTGGACAGGGCTTGGAGGTGACGCACGACCTCAGAGGTGGTGTGTTGGTCTCCAACAACAACCTGGTGCTGCAGATGGTGAGACGGACCTCAGCTGGCAACTACACCTGCGCCGCCACCAACACACTGGCCACCACCACCAGTAACATTATGGTCCTCGACATTAAATGTGAGTATATGATTGATAAGGAAGACATTTCACAAATAACCCGCACGTATAAGAGAGGAGCTTACGACGACGTTTCGGTCCTACTTGGACCATTTACAAAGTCACACTAGTGTGACTTTGTAAATGTGCGGGTTATTTGTGTATTGTTCCAGTCACGGTATTGTGCCTTTTTTTTGTTTAAGCAAGACGCTGATTGTACAGGAATCCTTATTGTACAACGTTTCGCCAAAAAACGAGTCCAAGTTTACCACTAATTTGTGGTGAAGTGTTGTACAGTAAAAGACTTGATTGGCATCATGACGGACTAAAAATTCGTCAGACTCTTCCACTAGGCTGTTTTTTTTGGTGAACTGTTGTAGTCACGGTATTGTGATTTTTATTATTATTATTCTACAGTCAGTGTCAGCATTCTGTCGGTGATTTGTCTTTTTTTAAGGGATTATATGATTGTTTAGACTCGAATATAACCAACAATCTGGCCTCTGCTGCCGCCACCACCACCACAGCCGCCACCACCACCACAGCCGCCGCCACCACCACCACCACCACCATCCACACTGATTTTCGACATCAAATGTGAATATATGATTATCTGGCCTCCACCACCACCACGCTCACCACCACTATCACCCTCACTACCACTACCAGTTCTTACGATCACTTTTACCAACCACACTGTTACTATTGCCAAAATGGCTACCACCAATACACCACAGCATCATTACGAGTCTGTATATCAAATATAAATAAATGACGGTTTTGACTTTTATCACCAATATCTTCACCGCCACCTATCACCTACCACCGCCACCACCGCCACCTATCACCTACCGCCGCCACCACCGCCACCTATCACCTACCGCCGCCACCACCACATATACCGCCACCAGTAACACTCTGGCCCTAGCCATCAAATGTAAAGCTATTCAAATTATCACCACCGCCAGAAGCATCAACGTCGGCAACACAACACTAAAAGCACCACCACTACCACAAACTACCTGGTACGGAGAACCTTCACCGCCGCTTCAACTCGGTCAAGAACTAATTAGTGGGAACATGTGAAGTCCCTCGACATGTACTCCTTGGGATGTAGGCGAGAGAGAAATTATAATCTACACCTAGAAAATTCTAAAAGGATTGTTCCCAAATCTGGACACAAATCATTTCCCAAGGAAGTAAGAGGCTTGACAGATGGTGCAAAATACTCCGTGACAAGGAGTGAAATGGGTTCACTAGGGGAGAACTAAATAAGTGTGAACGGACCAGTACTTCCCCTTCATATATAAAAGGAAGTACTGACAGACCCCTGGGTGACTTCAAGAGAGAACTGGACGAGTTTCTTAAGTCAGTAAATCCTTAAGGGACTGGTCTCAGTCTGAACACAAAAAAATCACTGCCTACGAAAGCAAAAGACTCGGAAGACTGTACAACATTTTCCAAATGAAAAGCAGGGGCGCCTCGAGTACACAGAAAACACTAAGTGTCCGGGGCCCCAGACTGTTCTCCAGCCTCCCGTCATACATAACGGGGGTTACCAGTAGACCCCTGGCTGTTTTTAAGTGGGAGGTGGACAGAGACTGAAGTCAGTGCCCGATCAGCCAGGCTGTGGTTCGCACGTTGTATTGTGTGCGGCCAGCAATAATAGCCTGTTTGATCAGGTTCTGATGCACCGGGAGGTCTAGTCGAGGGACGGGCCGCGGGTGCTTTGACCCCCGGAACAATCTCCAGGTAGGCAGTTCCTGATCAGCCGGGCTGTGGTGCATGCGTAGGACTTCAAGCTGCTAGAGCACCAACAGACTGACTGATCAGGCCATCCACCGGGAGGCCATAATTACCATCATCGAGCTAACCACCTCGCATCACCATTAGCAGTTACAACCAACAGCAATATCATGTCTGCTACTACCACCAGCATCAATAACACCAGTGGTAGCAATACCGCTGGTAGCAGTGGTACCAACACTACTATTACTGGCAGTAGCACCGACAGTACCACCAGCAATAGCAGTAACATTACCACTAGCAGTAGAACCAACAACACTATCTATAGTAGCACCACTAACATCAACATCCCCCACACCAGGACAGTCTCACTACGCGAAGTGAGACGAACGGGAGAGTTGGTGATTCTTGACGTGAGGGAAGGTGGTGAGGGGTAGTGGTGAGTAGTAGTAGTAGTAGTAGTAGGAGGGAAGGTGGTGAGGGGTAGTGGTGAGTAGTAGTAGTAGTAGTAGGAGGGAAGGTGGTGAGGGGTAGTGGTGAGTAGTAGTAGTAGTAGGAGGGAAGGTGGTGAGGGGTAGTGGTGAGTAGTAGTAGTAGTAGTAGTAGTAGTAGTAGGAGGGAAGGTGGTGAGGGGTAGTGGTGAGTAGTAGTAGTAGTAGTAGGAGGGAAGGTGGTGAGGGGTAGTGGTGAGTAGTAGTAGGAGGGAAGGTGGTGATGGGTAGTGGTGAGTAGTAGTAGGAGGGAAGGTGGTGAGGGGTAGTGGTGAGTAGGAGGGAAGGTGGTGAGGGGTAGTGGTGAGTAGTAGTAGAGAGGCTGAGAGAGAAGTGGGGAGGGAGAGGATGGGGATGTTTTTCAATTGAAACATTGTTGACAGCGTGAAGGATTAACATTGATTTACATTTAATATTAGTGTTTGTCGGATAAATGTGTTGATGACGTCGTTGTTTGTACATACACTGGGCCTTTGTGATTGTGTGTGTGTGTTTGCATACACACACACACACACATGATTGCCTCCTCCCAGTTTTATCTGTGGTGCTGAAAAGTAGCCATAAATTTTTTTTTTTTAAATTTGTCTATGTATTATCACCGAACTTTGTCTGATGGTTTGAGATGGCTGTGCTCCAGCTCCAGGCCCCATCTCGGGTTTCAGTGTTGGCATACTCAATAAACAGCCTCTTGGACTCTGATAATTATCTGATTTTCGTAGTTTTTTTCTGGAGTTTGCTTCTGCCGCCTTCCTGACTAACTTATTCCTTATACTGAAGAAGTGCTTCCTAACATCTGTGGCTCGCCTTTTATCTATGCTTATTTTTCTAACTCATGCCAGTGGGTCTTTGTTCAACCTGACAGTGCACCAGAGTATGTTGTACGTTGTTGTCATGTCTTACTTGACTCTTCCCTCTTCCTTTCAGATGAGATTCACGTCTTTTAGAGAAAGTTTTTGAAGCGCATGTTCTTTAGTGCCAGATTTCTGATTCTTTAGAGATTCTTCATATGGTATTGTGTTGTGTAATGTTATTCAGTGGATCTCTCAACCACAGAAGAGAAGTTTGATGTCGACCCACAGGTTTCTTTGTCCGAATCTTGGCGTTGCTTCCCTGTCAGGTGATGTGATGTGCTGCAGTCGGCCGCATTTTCCCAGCTCCCATCATTATTTGGTTTGAACTTAGCAATTACATGTTGGTCCATCGTGCAGTTTTCCCAGGTTCTCTTGCCATTATTTAGCTATTATCTGTAAGTATCATTATCAGCTTATCATCATCTGCAGTGACACGAGTCGATTTCCTATGTTCACGTCTTTTAAATATCAGAAACCGTACGAGTCCCAGTAATGTTCCCTGTGGGTCTACTTGTTACTTGGCCCAGCTCTGATGTTTCACCCTTCCCATAAAATCTGTTTTGTCATGTACGTATTTATTGAACCACAAAGATTTACAGTCGCCTAGATTTGTACCTCCTGTGCTTGAAGCGGTCTGTTCACGGAACGGGTGAGGTTTGAATCCATGGCAAATAAGTCCTACGACGCGCTTGGCATGGGTTGAAGCCCCACCCGTTCCGCGATTTGTTTACAATCATGTTATTACGATTTCGTGAGTCATAGTCTCTTATAGTGTCGAATATCTTCTGGTAGTCTTCAGAAGATGCAGTCTGCTGTTACTATTCTTATTCTCGCTCAACGGCAGAAAGTCGGCTGTCACTGTTGTCGTGGTCAGCCATAGACTCGACGGCTACCTTACCTTTATGTATAGCCTTAGAAACTGTTGTTACATTGCTCCTCCGTCACAGGTCAGTACACAGTTAACAAAAACTCATTTCGTTTTTTTCCCCCTAGCAAATAAACTAGTATCAACATACTTGCCAGGATCAACACAGGCCGTCAGCCACCATCTGTAAGTCAGAGGTGACGGACCCACCTAGTGTTTTGCCGGTGCTCGGAACTGGAAATGGCACTGAAAGAGGAGTTTTTTCCTCGATTTCTGAAAGGTATTCGCTGTCGTTGTACACAAAGGCATAGTCATGAACCGGGCCACGTCATGTTGACGGCAGTGAAGGGACTTGAGCTAGAGTTCGTCACGGCCACGCTAGCTGGAGATTCGTCTGTAAAAACTTGCATTTGTGGTCACAGAGGTGCCTGTGCTAACTTTCCTATGGTGTAGAAATATACCTAGTTGGGTGAATCTTATTGTGGCTAGCTGGTCTAGTGGCTAACGCGACGGGCTGGAGTTTTGAGACTCTATGACCGCGGGTTCAATCCCGGCCGGGGGTATGGTTTATTTGCAATCGTGTCATTACGATTTCTTGAGTCACACCCTCCAGGTAGAGAGACCACAACCAAGACACCACAGACGTCTTGCTGCAGGTAGCCATTGACTACGAGATCTTTGTACAAGACCGTAAACACCACCGTTAGCTGCAATCCTTCGCTCTCCACGCAATCCTAAAAGAACCAAGCACCTAGCCAAGCTAGGTGTGTTACCCTTGGTCTGAGGACATACGGTGGTGTGGGTGCCTCTGAGCTAATTTCATTCTCTTCCCCGTTTGGTGCACTAGCCTCAACGAGCAGTATTTTATATTATTGTGACCACGAACAAGTGGTATTGAGCATGGGTTCGAACCCTTGGCTAGTCGCTGCCGCAGTGTAGGTAATACCACTTGTACGTGGTCACAATAATATATATATATGAAGTAAAATATCCTTGAATATATATTAAGGAAGGTAGCAGTTTTTCTAACAAAAAAAATTGAAAACAAATATGTTGCAAGAAAATTGT